TATATATATATATATATATATATATAGAAAAAAAAAAAAATATAAAAGATATATATAATATAAAAAGGGGTATCTTAAATTTAAGTAAATGTATAGAAATAAAAATATATACTCCAATTATAATCATAAATAAAATGAATAATATATATTCGGTAACTGAATAGAAAAACTTATAATAACTGTATACCACATGTCAGATAAAATATATATATGTGTGTAAGGGAGAACCAGCAACTACTGGTATATTTCTTAAAACTTTAAATTGTTGCTAATATTTTGAACGCAGACCAGATAATAACAATTTAAAACGATCTTATCAATGTTATTGTTTTTGATATAATACTTATTTTTCAAGAATGGCTCGAAAAGTACATATTTCTAGGTTTATCGGTATGTTATCCTGTTTTATTTAAGAAGAATATCCCAGTGTGTTTAATTAATATAATATAAAATATCATACGCAATGATAAAAAAATAAATACATTTCTTCTTGCATTCGAGATGCAAAAAAATGGCGTATATTTTCTCTTCTCCATATTCTTATTTCCGGTAAATAAATATAAAGAGTACAGTTTGATAACAGTCCCTACACGAGCATTCCTATAATCGCAATGAGCCGATAAAAAAACAAAAGCTAAACACTGTTTCTCAGTGCTACGAAAGGTGATAACGAGTTCAAAATAAATAAGAAGCTTTCAAATGTAGAATTCGATGAAAATCTAGTCTTAAGAAATGGGAAATTCGAAAAGCAAAAGGTAATAAATGAAGAAAGGGCAGAAAAAAAACACTGTACGTCGAATTAGTAGATATTTTTATACTTTTTTCGAGTGGAAATTAAAGAAGATGCTATTAAATTTTTCTGAGAATGTTTTCAAAACACGTTTATGTTACTTGAGCATTTTGCAGAATAGATAATTCTAGAGAATAATAAATAAATATTTCCAACACACCTTTTCGCTCTCAACAGGCTCCCATCCTTTAAATGTTTCACCTACACCATTAATATTCTTATTGTTAACAACTTCATGTTCGTCGGAAGCGTCAGCTTTCACTGCTTTTGTATCTGGCGAGTACGAATTACCAGTATTAGTAGTAAGGATTACCAAGTACGAATTACCAGTATTAGTAGTAAGAATTACCAATAGTAGTAAATTCAAAAATATTAGACATAAAATTCAATTTCAGATTGATTAATTTTATTTTGTTATCCTAAGGATGTTTCTGAAAAGTAATTAATTTTTCGTATGATTATTAATAATTAAAATATATATATATACACCAAGTATAAATCATTTATTCTATTCAATGAGATATATTATCAATTTAGTAGCTAATATAACTTTATTAAACAATTTTCCATTCTATAGGAGTAAGGTACAGAAGAAACAATAATATTACTAGAACATGTTTCAAGATAGAGATGAAATTATAGTTCTAAATAAAACACAATAATTAAGTTCTGAACCCAGTAGTTATATATAAATGTTGCTTACCAGTGCTATACTGCTTTAATTAAAGCCATTAAAGGCTTGAAAAAGTGTTGATCAAATATTAAACTTCATGAGAAATGTGCTGTCACTGTTGATTTTTGAGCACAGAGCTACAAAATTGGATATCTGCATTTTGACCACTATGAAAACACCACATTTTAAAGCTGTAAGTCCGATTCATTATTCACACACACAGGGCTGGGTGCGAACATATATACAAACAAAATTAAATTAGCGTTAATAACGTCAGGTTGAAAAGTACATGATCTATTGAGTCAACTGCCAGTGTGAATAGCAAAGGGTTTCTTTCGTTTGTGCAATATTGATGACAATATTGTTTATATTTAGAGTATATAGGATCGAGGCTGAGTGAGTTATATTAAAACTATATTGCAACCTCACCATATCATTACAGTCCATGTCACCACGTCCCATCCTGCTTTATCTGGTAACTGTTCATCTTGACAATATCTTTGTAACGTAATTCCCATTGCAAAAGGTTCCACCGTAAGGCTATCATGTCTTAAGCACACAGTATCTCTCTGCATCCTTCTCTAATTCATCTAGTGTACGAGGACGATAGTTTCTTACCTTTCACTTCAGCAGTCCGATCGACGGCAATAAATAAACGCTGCATTTGTCAACTTGGCAGGTATTTTTTCGAATGGAATAACACGAATGTCTGCTTCATTCTCCAACGGCTTGAGGTATGTGGCTCTTGAAAAGAAGGTATGACTAAAAGTTTTATCTTGGTGAATCAATATCCTGTTTCCCTCGTTTTCATACGGATATCTTTCTTGATTTTGCTGCGTGTTGTTGCCTGAATTACGCGGACGGCATTTGTCACAACCCGTTGTGTTCAAGGATTCTCACTTGTTACAAGATGCCGCACATTTACTATCATGACTTGTTCCAGGTCCCTATTTGGATGGTCGTGGTACCCCAAATTGATCCCTATTCCTTTATTTTTCAAAGTTATTAAGTACAAGGTATTTTGCCATCTTGAAAATTTTAAATCACCGATCTGAATACACCTTTATGGTCTGAGTGTATAAATAGTTTTTCTCGGAAAGGATTGTTATATGCCCTTCTCAAAAGCGAACAATTTTTGGTGGCATAGCACTACCCACCGACGTCAAACAATGTAAACATATAGCGGTGATACTGTCATTATACTATGACCTTAAATTGGTTGTGATTGTTAGTGACTTGTTGATTTTCATACACAAAAGAGATTTATTATAACGTATTCAGCCCTATTCCTATAAATCTGGTATGTCTTAATAGATTTGGTCCAAATATCATGAAATAAATTGCAGGGACTTTTGTTATATGGGCAAACAGTATCAATTTAAGATTTTAGTAAGAAATCAGCAGTTAGAAGAAAAATACTATTACTATTCTTATATCTTGTGCTGGTAGTCTATACAGTATTTGTTTGCTGCTAAGCGCGAAGTTTCACAATGGGCTATCTGTGCTGTGCCAACCGCGGATATCTAAACCTGATTTTTAGCGTTATAAATAATAAGACTTGTCGCTGAGCTAGCGGGGAGGGGGGTTGTAAAATATTTAGTATGGTGACTGTATTCTGATTTTCTACTTGTGGTGGTTAGGGCGGTCGCCTCATAATCTGAGGGTTGCGGGTTCGAATCTCCGTCACCAAACATGTTTGCTTTTTCATCCGTGGGGGTGTTATAATGTGAAGCTAAAAAAAGTAGCCTAAAAGTTGGCGGGGGATGGCGTTGACTAGCTACCTGTCTTCTAGTCTATCATTGCTAAACTAGAGCCAGCTATTACAGATAGCCCTCAAATAGCTTTGCGCAAAATTCAAAACAAAACAATTTGCGATATTTTTTATAATTTAATACATATATAGAGAGTTATATGAATATCGGTTAATATTTTCAAAGTGCAACAGAGAGAAAAGAGTTGCAGTATCAAGTATGTAGGGGTAATCAGAGCTGCCATGTTACCCTTGAAATACTTGGTTTCTGAAAAACGTAGGAGATTCATGTAATTTTTGTCATACCTTGAAACAGAGTATTTCTAGTTATTATGAAAGCAATCTAGGATGAAGAAATTCGAGTCTAGCATGGCCTGGTGGTTAGTGTACTCGACTCGTAATCTGTGGGCTGTCGGTTCGAATCCCTGTTGCTAAACAGATTCACCCTTTCAGCTATGGGGGACATTATAATGTGACGATCAATCCCACTCTGTGTTGGTAAAAGAGTAGCCAAGATTTGGTTGACTAGCTCCATTTCCCCTAGTCTATCACTGCTAAATTAGGGACAGCTGGCGCAGATAGCCCTCATGTAAATTCAAAACCATTCTGTTAGTTTTATAACATTGCATAATACATCATATAAAAATACACATAGATAGACAAAGTATATAATATATAATACCAACAGCTGTACTACTCAAGTGATTAAAGCAGTATATATCGTAAGCTAATGCATTGCTTCAAAAGCACTCATGTAGAAGCGCGTATAAAAAGCTCTAATATTTAGAGATCGCTAAAAAGTCTTGAGAAATTAAGTGATGACAAGCAGAAAGCTATTAGACCACTGTTTAATTTTCTTCATCAGCACGTGTAGATGTTAGCGGAAAGCTATTAGACCACTGTTTAATTTTCTTCATCAGCACGTGTATATGTTAGGGAAAGCTATTAGACCACTGTTTAATTTTCTTCATCAGCACGTGTAGATGTTAGGGAAAGCTATTAGACCATTGTTTAATTTTCTTCATCAGCACGTGTAGATGTTAACGAAAATGGCTTTTTTACACTGAAACTATGCAAATTAGAGGTTCCAATTCAAGGCGGGAGATTCATAAAAATACTTCTTTGCATTAAAAAAAAAATTAACTAAGCGCGTTTGGTTTCAATATATATTTGACTGATTTGAAGTGACTTTATAGAGTTAGATCCCAAAAATATGAAATAAAACCATTGTCGGTAACTGGGTTGCAAATTAAAATACTGTGCCATATATGTTAGTATTTCTTTAGAGAAGAGCAACCTCTTGATGAAATATTTTGTTGGGCTTTTCGGAAAATTATATACTTTTTCTTGTATCTTCAGTGCAAACACTGCTTGTTATAGAAGCTCAGCAGATGGCAGGACCGTCTCCAAACCACTCTAAAGCATCATCATCATTAACTCACCGAATTAGACCTTAAGACTTAACAGAAACAATAACGACCTCTACCGATTCATTCACAGATGGTTTTCACGGACTTGGTCAATCTAGAAACGAAAATAGAAATGCCAGACAAGGTAATAAGTTAACGTTTCAAGTGAAAACAATTAGCCAGAAAGAAGCTGGCGAAAAGTTTGTGCAGACAAACATTGTAGGCTTGGTAAATATACAGTTGTGGGGAAGAGTCATGGACTTACAAGAAGTCTGAAAACTATTTCATCAAAATAATTTTACAGGTGTGCTATTAAAATAAAAACATTAAAAAACAAAACAAAATGCAATTGGAATGTATGAATCGCCCATATGTCTCGAGCACTCTTTATAAGGGATGGGCCATTCTTGTCCTATAGTTCCAATAGCAAATTAGAAAATTTTCCAAATTAGAACATTGACAGTCAAACACTTATAAGAATATTAGGTATAAGTTAACAGGAAAAGGTTGCCCTAATTTCAGTTAAATAGACCTCAATACATTAAAGCATGTTCCACCTACTAAAGAAGAATTTTCTGAAGTTTTGGTGACTATAATACTAATCTGGTATTTGGTAGGTATGCTTTACCAGGATCCTAAAAAAACTACAAAAACAGAAAAAAATCTGGAAAAAGATACCATGAAGTATCACTTAACTCAAAACCCAAATTGTTCTGGTTAGCATGAATAAACATTCTCTTATTACACGTCAAACAAATGAATATTTTGCAAGAAATCTAACTGACACGATATACGTGCATGGTCAATACGATGGGAAGAAGTTGGGTTATGACATAGAGAAGTCAGATCTAAAAACTCAAAGAAATATTGTTTATTTTGAGGAAAACATGAAAAAAAAAGCTGATACAAAATTTCTTAAAGATTCTTTTGATGTAACTCCCCTTGTAGCTACTCAAGTACACATCTACTCTCCTGATGCTCATGTGATGGCTTAAAACCACATTACTGCTCAGATTTATGTGGTGACGTACCCTTAGTAACGAAAACTAGACATAAGAATAGAGTTGTTCCTTTAAAACCGATTTCTGAAATTCTAGGTACTACAATAGTTGAAGCTGTTCATGCACCCCCAGGAGCAAACATTAGAGGTAGACGAAGTGACGAGTTGGAAGATGTTTGAAGAAATGGATAACGAAAACATCATTTCAGCTTTTCCTTGATGTTCTCAGTGGGACACAAAATCGATCTGAAGGAACCATATATATATATAAATGTTATATTTTCTCAGCTCAACACTGATCAAGGATAATGTGTTCAGTAGGAAGGGGCTCAAAAAGACTATCCCCACATTTGAAGTTTTATTATCAGAGTGTTAACGTTACTTGAATATTCTGGGATTAAAAAGTAATGCGATAATGTGAGCCTGGGTCACCCCTTCTACCATTTTAATCCGATTCGTGCAAAACAACAATACGTGTGCTACGCACGGCAATAAACGTCACTTTCCTTTAGCGTCAGCTTCACGCTTTTTGCAACAGACCTCCTTGACCAGTTGAAAACTCATTCGCGCCTCTAAAGGCGGTAAAATTTAAGTGTCGAAATATTTGATCGAAATTAACTCTTGTACTCAGGAACAAGATGTGCAGGAGGGAGGAAGAGGTCAAATGTATCTGACCCTTCCAAGTCTTCAAAGACCAAATCCCAACGCCGATACTGCTGCTTGCTTATTCAATTGTACTCAGTCTTCGGGGTATTTATGTTAGTTTATCTAACAAATTTCATGTAAATTAATTCAGCCAGTTAGCTTCTCAGAACAACTTATAACTTATACAGACAGATAACTCTGCTTTACACACACATATATATATATATGACGTTCATTACATTGCCTCATAGTGTTAAGGTCTAATGCGAGAATTTTAAATAGATAACGTATCCAATCTGAAGAGTATGAATCCGTAAACGATAGAGGAGATCCCCATCCATCCCCAACCTACCTGCTTCTGATCATATTTCTTGCAAAGATAATGAGTTCCACTGAAAGTTGTATTTGAAAGAGTAACAAGTAAGGGCGCACTGACAGCGCACGGATATGGGGAGGCTTATAGAGCAAGAAGTAATCGAATGTTGATGGTAATGATTTTATTACATGCATATAATATAACTGTTTATATCCAATATTGGATATAAACAGCTAACTATTTCTACAAATAATTATTGTTCAGCAATTTGCAAAATTATTAACTGTTTAAATGTGTTAATATTTAAATTACGTTTGCTAAAAATCTATTTATAAGATATAACAAAATGCCCTATAATATTATGCCAGGGAGTGAATGGATTTAACACTATAATTAAACACAGGTCTTTCGTAATATATATATATCTTGGTTTTATTGTACTAAATGCAAATAGACTTCAAGCATTACCTGCATTGGTGACTTCTATCATTAAATACTTACGGCACAACAGATTGTCCAGAGTATAACAAGTTCTAGTATTGTATGTAATTTAAGCCACTGGCATCTGGTGAACGAAGTTTTCTGTACACATTAACTAGTTCCGTGATTGGATTTGCAAGTCCTTTGACGCTGTTTACCTAACAAGTTCGATACTTTTATTGCCCTAGGCAATAATGTATGTATTATGAACATAGGTGTTGTTGTAGTAGTAGCGGTAATCAATTAACATTTTCAACATATTTTGACGTATACAGAATAAGAACGAAAAGGTTGAGATTGATGAATAGAACATATTGTCAACAAATATAATTTATTTGAATAGTAGAACTGAAGCAAAACCTAAGCGGCACCTCGTGCGCATGTGGCCTAAAAAGACCGGTCAAACACTCCTAGAGTTTAGGTAAAACTATTCATAGTTTTGAATTACTGACCACATGAAGGACAACTAGCGCCACAAGGGTTTCAAAAAAAAAATAACGGGTCTGACTGTCACTTTTCATACGGGATCATAGCTGAATGTACGGAGTATATTCAGCCGACATAACGTCTCGAACTTTGCACAGTCCAGCATACTATACACTACGTCACGCTCGGCTCTTTTTTTTAAATGTATTTCAACATAAATATAACTTACTAAATATATTGGACGTAGTAGTTAGCGTACTGGGACTGAAAATCCAAGGATTGATGAGTCGCGGTCCATTGTTGCAAAAACTTTGTAGCCGTGAGTTCGCTATAAGAACGATGGTCAAATATCACTACTTGGAATAAATCATTGGTTTATTCTCTGCCAGAAAAATATGTATGTATTTTTTTCATGTAGTATGAACTCTCAATGTTTACCCCTGATCTTTATTTATTTTTTAACTTAGTGTGAACTCTTAATGTTTATCCCTGATCTTTATTTATTTTTTAACTTAGTGTGAACTCTCAATGTTTACTCCTGATCTATATTTAATTTTTAACGTAGTGTGAACTCTCAATGTTTACCCCTGATCTTTCTAATACTTACTATTTATTTGTGATACTTTTCCATGCTTGTCTTTAGAAATTAATCTGCTTGACATTTCTTTTTCAGTCAATCTCCATGTGTCACCTTTATTTTACTTTATCTAACAACACTTAAGTATAGTCTTTCTTGACTGTTTCTAAAGCAAAACATCTCTAGCTCCTTTTTATATAACGCTCTCGTTTTCAGTTATGTGTTGCATTGGAAATGACACACACTTACATTAGTACATTAAAAAAATATACAAAAACACTTCCTGGAAGCTCGGTTGATCTTCATGACGTCATTCGACTCCCTTTATAAATCATTCACTCAGTTACACGACCATAAGTCCGATAATAGCCACTAAAATCTTGGGTAGTTGAGAAGAGATGTAGTGATACCACTAAAATCTTGGGTAGTTGAGAAGAGATGTAGTGATACCACTAAAATATTAGGTAGTTGAGAAGAGATGTAGTGATACCACTAAAAACTTGAGTAGTTGAGAAGAGATGTAGTGATACCACTAAAAACTTGGGTAGTTGATGAGAAGAGATGTAGTGATACCACAAAAAACTTGGGTAGTTGATGAGAAGAGATGTAGTGATACCACAAAAAACTTGAGCAGTTGAGAAGAGATGTAGTGATACCACTAAAATATTGGGTAGTTGAGAAGAGATGTAGTGATACCACTAAACACTTGGGTAGTTGAGAAGATTTTTCCTTCTGTCTTTCACCACTATGCCCAGTTTGCCACTGAAGAAAAAAGGTCCACCTTTCGAAAGTGCTCGGGTTATAGGGATCTTTATTTTTTATAGGGTCAGAGAATTTGTTTGTTTGTAATTAAGCACAAAGCTATACAATGGGCTATCTGTGCTCTGCCAACCACGGGTATCTAAACCCAGATTCTAGCTTTTTAAGGCCGCAGACATACCGCTGTGCCACTGGGGGGCGGATCAGAGAAGAGTAGTCCAAGAGTTGTGGTCAGGTGCTTTTGTCTAGCTACTTACATGCTAGTACATCAACTGAATATTATGGAGAGCTATGCATACAAATAAAATTTAAATATATTCAGAGTACTAATTAATATTCGTTAGCAAATGTATTATAGTTTAATTAAAAACAGTTTAGGTAATTTTTTTAAACCGTGAAATTTGTTCCTAATGTTAACATTAGATAATCACGTGTTGGTTACAAATAACTCAAATTATTTTCCCACCCCTTATGCCTAAATAACACACTGAAGTCAGATATTAAAGTCTACGTTTTCATAACCATATTACAAATATTTCTCCATACGTGTTTTAAGGATAGTTCTATTCAATAGTTCTGTCCTTTTGTTCATGTTATGGCTTATGTACATTTAATAGTGAAATATTCACTAAAAATGTATTAGTAACGAAATATTATATACATATAGCGCGTTTGTTTTTTTAGCCGCGGCAAAACGGCTCATACAATGGCTCTGAGTTTTTTGTTTGTTTTTTTTTGTTATTTAAAAGTATAAACTTTTAGCTCATACCTCCATCTCGTGACCGATTTGAGATCTAATTACAGCGCTGCCATTGAGGATTCCCTCTTGTTTTCAAATTTAAAGATAGGCTAAGATGAAATCCTAGTCTCTAATCTTTTCCTTGTATATAATAAATATGATAACTCCAGACTTTCGTCGGAAAAATCCACTTTACCATTCTTCAGTGTTGCATAAATATTCGTGTAGAATATAAATCAGCTATCTATCTTAAAATAAAACATGAGCGTAAGGTTCGTATGACTAATAATGTAATCTTAGAAAAAATATCTATGTCTAAAATAGTTTATATGTAATGCTATGTACCTTTTGAGCGGTGAAGTTTCGATCTAGTTTTCAAACCAAGAACAATTAGGCACGCCAATAACACCAAACCGGCAACAACTGCTACCAAAACAATCAAAACTGGACTGAACGTCATCTGCCATAAACTTTCTGTAAAAAAATAACCCATTCTATTTCTAATTAAATGACATTTAATAAAAGTCAAAATGTCTTGTATCACAACACTTGCTACGATCGATCCATTTAAAGACACTAAAAATGACTAAGATAACCGAGTTTTCTGAATTTTATACAATGAGTTTCATTCATTCTACTTCAATCTGTATAATTCCAAGTAAATATGTATTATAATTCAAACTCTTATTGTAGCTTAAATACATTTTCGTAGAGAAAAATATTCTTGTGATGATTTTTTTCATTTTTCCCTTTGATTTATTTTAGCACGTGTCTAATTGTGTTATCCATCTTGCATCCATTATTGTTACTTTGAAACAACCTTTGTTTTACAAGTATTTATTAATTACTTTTATTTGGTAAATTCATATCTTTTAAGGTCACTATATACTTTTATTTGGTAATTTCATATATTTTAAGGTCACTATATACTTTTATTTGGTAATTTCATATATTTTAAGGTCACTATATACTTTTATTTGGTAATTTCATATATTTTAAGGTCACTATATACTTTTATTTGGTAATTTCATATATTTTAAGGTCACTATATACTTTTATTTGGTAATTTCATATATTTTAAGGTCACTATATACTTTTATTTGGTAATTTCATATATTTTAAGGTCACTATATACTTTTATTTGGTAATTTCATATATTTTAAGGTCACTATATACTTTCATATGCTTAATTTTGTTTTTGCAAATGGCGCTATGACTATTAATAGAACCTATTTGTTCTGGAGACAGTTAAAATTACCTTCCTGCGACTGTTTCAGAAGAAAAGTCAAGGTTCTTGTTCGTAGTATTACAGCATGGCTTCTTCCCTTAGCATTCACAGCGTAGATAATAACAACAAAATCTGTTCCCGGCGGAAGTCCTGTTACATAGAACCTGCTTTCTAGTGAGGTTAAATTCGCCCTAAGTTTATGGAGTTTAGTATCGTGAACCTCCATTACGAAGTGCTGACTCAGTCCTCCGTCGTAGCCTTCAGAACATTCTAATTCAATTGAATGCTCCGTCTGATTTTGAAGAGAACAGTTGCTAACGGAACTTGGTGGGCCTGAAAATTTGAACCAGGAAACTATGTAAAATAGATGTGATGTAACAAATTCAATTTCTTAACATGTAGCCGTAATTCTTTTTCGCCTAGAATGAAATGCATTTAGTGACATATTTATATACTTTCGAAACACCATTGTTAATACGACATTTAAGCTATTTCACTTCATTGAAAACTATCGCATGTTGCGAACCAAGCATGATTGAAACGGAAACCCTGTTAGGCATGATATGAACTTTTTTAAACCGACGAAAGCTAGTATGTACCTCAGGGAATACAAAACATGTTAAAGGAGCACTTTAACTTTTTAAAGAGGGATAACTGTATTTCTGGAGGCAAGTTAATCTCATGCAATACATATTATTTTACTAATTACGTTAATTATCTTGTTGATTGATAAACATACTCATCTGGTTGTCTACATCATTAGCATCCTACGTTACATCTACAACCATTCTATTTTTAAGGACAACTATCTATTATCAAAAATAATTAAATATTAAACTACTGTGCTTAATGCCATATCAGTTATCGTCCACGTGCCTGATTATGATCTTATCGTCCACGTGCCTGATTATGATCTGTACGTGACTATTTATAATGCTAGAAACGTACCTGCAGGAACGAGGTGAAATAAACAGGGTTTTTTTTGGGTCCCAATTGAATTTTTTCCCCAGCAAAGTACCATTCCGTAATCGGCAGCTCCTGTAGGTGAGAACGTAGCCTTGCTCCTTGTTTCTTTACTTTCAAATGTCGTAATGTCTAAGACTTCTTTAGTGTTGTTAAATCTCCAGTAAAACTTTACATCGCCTGGGTCGGCTTCAACATCACAAAATATTTTGATAGTCTCGTGGCGCGCTGCTCCGTACACCGATTTCTGTCCCGTTCGGCACAATGGCGCATCTGGAAAGGTATCATCATTGTTTGTGTATCATGTACAAAATACACACAAGTAAAAAAAAAAAAAACTGCTTAGCTGGTGCAATCAATTTCAGTACGATAAAAAAGGACACAACGTAAAGCTTTATTTCCTAAAGGTTTATTTGAATTTGAAATTCTTTAAATGAATATTACATTAAAATGTTGTAGACTGTGCATATTTTTCCTTTATAATAAAGATTGTCCACAACAGTTTATTTACGATTATGAGATAAATATTTTCGACAATTAATCATAAAGTATCTCTGTTAGTGAGCGCCCCCCCCCCCCAGTAGCACAGCGGTATGTCTGCGGAATTACAACGCCGCTAGAAACCGGGTTTCGATGTCCGTGGTGGACAGAGCACAGATAGCCCATTGTGTAGCTTTGTGCATAATTACAAACAAACAAACTGTTGGTCAGCGATGAGTCTACGGACTTAAAACGCTAAAATCCAGAATTATATTTTTCGCGGTGAGCAAAGCGCAGATAGCAGATATGTTCTTTTAGAAATAAATGTAGTTTCACATTTTACTCACATTCGTAAACTAGCATAATTTAATGAAGATTTAAGCAGTTAAACTTTGAGAAATATTACATTTGCGATACTTCTTTGGCCATCTAGTTAAAGCAAATGACTTAAATCTAATAATGCTGATTAGTTGTTTGGATAATTAACTGTTCCTTATCAGGTAGATTTCAAAAAAACTCAGTAACTTTAGAGTTTTCGAACAATTGACTATTCTTCTTTAGCTTGATGTTTTTTGGTCTTTTGAAATGTACTTGACTTTTAGATGATTCTTTGTGCTAATTGTTTCACTATGGATGTTTCAAAGTTAAGCCTAAGTTCTAGAATAGAGGCCTAAACATGAAATAAAAGTTACCACTAAAATATAATAGGACACACTGAAATTGATAACCATTTAGATCAACAATAAACAATGTAATAAATGGCTTTCCATACACTTAGCCAAAAGTGCAATATGTTAGTTGTTCTAATGCATATACTTTTGGACGCTTTAAGTAGTAACAGATTTAAGGATTTGGAGTTTATTAATACTTAAATGTCTTGACTCAATGTTAATTAGCTGCTACTAACTTTTAATAGTTGTTGTCTTTCTTTTCTTCACAAAGCTTGCAAATATATCTTGATTTGATTGATTTATTTGTCATTTCTTTAACTGGAAAATTTAGAAAATCATATATATATATATATAGTCTCATACTCCATTAAGAAAATATGGATAATAATAGTGAACATGTCGTGGGAAAAATACTTAGATGTTTCAGTAAGGAAAGGAAACACTGCATTTTACTGTTATCCATATTTTGTTAATAGAATGTGAACATATATAGATTATGGTTATCTAAGTCATCGCTTAGACCAAATCTACATTATATGAAATTGATCTAAGAAAGACGCATTTATAGGTTTTATAATTATTCAATAGCAATGAAAATTTTCTGTCTGTCTCTCTGTGGATGCATCTCATCCTGAACGACTGGACCGATCCAGAAAAAAAAATTGGCATGCTAACTTAGTAGTCCAAAGGCAAATCAGATATGTATTAAAAAACAAAAATATTTTATAGAATAACTAGTATATAGTTACTGCAGTAACTATTGTAAATAACTGAATTTAAACAAAATTCACAACACAAGAAAATTCTACAAGTCAAAGATTGTAAATAAAATTTTCAGCATTTTGGCTTCTTTCCCATTATAACCAAAATATGCAGTAATAAATTATTTAATTACAATGTGTAGAATAAAGATAGTGCTGTTGTTTATGTTCCCGCTCTTTTCTGATTCACGCCTTTTAACTTCCGGTTTATATTAGCTTTAGAATAAGAACTTAAGCTTGAATTAGCAAAGTGTTTCATAATTAGAATATTTTTAGGATGTTTCTTACTTCTTGATGTGGTTTTACGTAGAAGCATAATTCAATATTATTATTAAATTTAATGCATTAAATCTACCTAATTCATAGAGTAGAAATCTTGACTACATCTCTACTGTGAATTGGGCTGCTTTGAACAAGACGTGACGCAATTGCTTTACCATTTCTGCCAAGTTTCTTAACTCGACTTCTACACCTTCTCACTTCTGATCCACTTTCTCTATTTTACACAGTTTCTTTGAAGATGAACGCTAGTGAAAATCATTGCAGAGATTTTGCTAATAATTAGTAAATGTGTGCGTGTTTTCCGCGTTTTCAAGACAAAAAGATAGGAGGAGGACATTTAGAGTGTATTACAAGAGCTTTA